TCTTTCTGTCAATGGTTGGTTCTTCTGTTTTCCCCCTTAGTTTATTTTTCTCTTTCTGAAAGGGTCTCTACATGACCATGCTTATTTCTTGTTGTATTATGATTTTCTTCTGGGTTGTGTATTTTTAAAATTTTGGTTTACTTGCACCTGCTGGTAGGGCTTTTGCTAGTCTACAGCACAAACAGTTAAAACTGCAGAAGGGACCATTTTTAGGACTTCTTTGTTGTGCAGTGATAGCTCTCATAACAACAAAAAAACCCCAAACCCAACAACCTATTTGTTCCTTTTGATCTTCAGTAATAAAAACTGACAGCTCATGCTACTGCAGCTTAGGGTTTGACCTGGCTCTTAGTCCAGGTCAAATAACTGGTAAAACACACAAAATTTCTAGTGTTTTTTACCTTTTCTGTCACAAGACAAAAGCACTCCTGGGGCTGTTAGCACAGCTAATTAGATACATAGTAGCTTGATAATATGTCTGAGTCCAGGATAAGCTTGATTATCAACAGAAATTTTACCAAGTTAAAATGCTTCTGTCAATTTACTAATGGTAATGGGGATGAGCAGTGGACAACTTTGTGCCTGGTACATTCTTTACCTTTTAATGTTACCGGCTGAATACCAGACGTAAAAGATTGAGTTTGACGTTCAGCCCAGGTTGTTTTCCAGATTAACAGAAAAATGCTGCTTCTAATGTAAGATGCCTTAGGATGGAAATATTCAATAATATTTCACTATCCAAAAATTCCTTAAGTATTTTTATACTGGCTTTCTCACTTTCTCAAGTGCTGTGAAACTCTTGTAAGGTGCTTCAGGTTTGCTAATTTGGGAGAAGAAAGCAGGGAAGCAGTCTAGCTTTTCCTCTAAAGTTATTGTTGAAAAATAATTTTTTTGGAAATGCAATATTACATTGCCCAACAAAATCATATTTCTTTCACCTTTTCAGGTTTTAACCCATTAAATGGAGAAATATTGCTTTCAGAAGACAGGCATATCGCTTGCTGCACAACTGGAAGTACACTACCAACAACAGAGGAACATAAGTCACTTGCTGATTCAGGAGTTAGAATCAATGCTGAAAATTCAGGTACCTTCTCCCAGACTGTGAAAATGAGGATAGAGTATTCCCAACCTGTAAACGTACAGGGACCAGATATGGCAGGTGACGTGTCACTGCTACACACTGAAGTTGTATTGCCCGTTGAAGCAGATGGCTCACCTGAAGTAGTTCAAGCGCACTTTGTGAGTGAGAATACAGCAGGTGGACTGTCAGCTCCTGAACTTTGCAACTCTGTGTTGGAGAATGCAGTGGGCAGTCAGAGCACTAACTTAGCAATGAGTGAAGAAAATGGTCACAATCAAAAATACCAGGAAGCGCAAGAAGAAAACTGTAATTTTGTAGTTAAAGAACACTCTGAACAACTTCATAATGCTGGTACCATGGATGAGATGCAGGAACTTGAAAAAGTTTTTTCAACAAACATTGTGCCAATCAACTACGCACACAGTGCTCAGACTGAGTCTCACCAGAACCGTGTCCAGGAAGCCTCCCTGTCTGCTCATGTGAACCATGAAGACTCTTTTAAAAACATGAATGAATTTTCTTGTGTGACAGAGGAACAGCATGAGCTGGAGAATACAGTTACTGTAGATGAAACTGTAGCCTTTGAGATTACTGATGAGAGCCATGATTTTTTGTCTCAGGGACATGAACAGATTTTTATTCAGACTTCAGATGGGCTCATCCTGTCCCATCCAGATGCTGCTGTTTTGTCTCAGGCAGAAGGCATCGTTATTGTAACCGATTCCAATGGTACTACAATGCACATTCGCACACCTGAGGGGATACCTTTGGAAACTGTGGAAGCACTACTGGCAATGGAAGCAGATGGCCAAAGTGAAGATATTTTGCTCTCGCAAAGTGAATTGGAGCCATAAATTAGAAAACTGTATATGCTTGCTTCTGGAAAAGACTGACTCTATAAAATGTATATTTTTCTAATGTGAATACCGAAATAATTGAAATTTAACTTATTTGTAAACTGTTTCTATGCCCTGTACTTTTTATAACTTATGTTTATATAAATCTAGCAGCATTGCAACCAAAAATTCTAGAATTAACATCGTTCTATTTGCTTTATATGTTGGGGATGGGTGGAAAGTGGAAATCTGTCAACCCTAAAACTGTTGCACTATTCCCTTTTGTTACATAATTCCTTTTCTCTCTAGCCATCTAAAAATGCAGTAAGTTGTACTGCTGTTCAGCAGTGATATGCTGTGTACTGACAAGCTGTATATGGGTAAAATAAAAACTATATTAAAAATGTGTTTTCTGTGCCATTGAGATTACAAAACACTTTGTTACTGCCCTTTCTTAAAGCTACCTTGCATATTCATAGCACGTAGACTTGACGTGCATAAATCAGCCTGGAAGAATGATCAGTTTTAAATATAATCCACACTTGTGCATTCCTGGAACAATGTGATGGCCTAGCTAATCCCTCCTTAAATAAGCATCTACTGAGTTAGGAACAAAAATAGCCTCAAACAAGATCTGATTTGTACTGAACTGTTGGAAATGTATTTCAGTATGCTTGTCTAATGTTCAGCCACACCTTTAAAAATCACTGTTACTTAGGAAGAAATGGAGAGATGTGTAAGTAGTGATCTCATTTGCCTTAGTGAGATACCAATTCTTTTTGTTACTTTAGTCTGCAATGGTCTATTTTATGGTGCAGTTTTTGTTTGGGTTTTTTTCCCCTCTTTTTTTTTAGGAGGTGGTAATGGTCAGAAGATACCTTCTAAGTGAAGATACCATACAAAGCAAGGTTCTGCTGGTCTTCCGAAGTCTGATTGCAGTGAGTAATTCTTTATTGCACTTTTTTATACTGAGTGTCTAATAACTACATCTGAGGGCTTCAAATATAACAATCAACTGCTTGGAGCTATAATGGCAAAACATCTCTGCAATGATTTTTCTGTAATCTTCCTGTGTCTGATAGCGGTCAACAAGCAAGGGGGTCTGTGAATATGAAGACTCCTTCCTGAAGAGCTTATTTCCTCTAAGAAACAAGAACAAACCACAATTTCCACCTGTGCAGAAAATGACAATTTGCTTCAATTCTGCCTTCCCTATTGATTTGCACATGCTGGGAAATACAATACACCTACTCATCTTAAAAGAACAATTCTATAAGTGAACCAACCTTTTCTCCTTGGAAAATATTTTTCTAGTATGAAGGTGGTTCCATAGTGACAAAGGTCTGGCCCTACTCAAATTAAGGTGGCTGTTAAAATAGGTGGAATGCTTGCATAAAAAAATAATAAAACCCAGCAAAGCTATTGATAACTGATTGTATTCTCCTTGAGCTACAGCAGAATTTCTTTTTAGATGCTACAAACCTAGGGTAAGAACAGAACTCTATTAAGCTTCTGAAACAACCTCATCGAACAGAGCAGCGTGTCGAAAAAAACTTTTCCAATTCATGTCTGTCTGTTCCATTATTGCAGGAAAGCCATGTATTTCCCTCACCAAGCTCACGGGGTTTCAGCTTGGAACTTGTTAAGTAAGTGACCCTACTTTTCCCATCAGAAATCTGTTCCAGAGTCTCTCACTGTTTTAATAAGATTTTTCTAGTGTCAAACCACAGCCATTATGGTCATTTCATAGCAGGGTGCATTTCATTTTACTGTCTTTTAGTTCGAATAGTTGTTTCAAGACGAATCAAGGGTAAACATCTGTCAGGGCACAGCAGTGAGGCAACAGCACTTAGAAATGCTACATAATTGTGTGAAATGGGAGATCTAAATCAACAGTTTATATAAGAGCAGGTCATACACGCAATCTAAGTGGGAAGAATTTAGATTATTTATCATAATGAAGGAAGCAGAAGGCCTAAATTCACTACACATTAGGGATTTAACTAAAAATTTGAAGATACAGCTGCATAGTTTCGACCTTGTAATACAGTTTTCTGAAAAGTGCTGATTTGCAATAGCAGCTAACAGTTACTATGGCTGGGTAAGCACAGCAGCTTCTCCATGCTACCCAGGTCTGACACACGGGTATGCCACAGGGCTTATTAGGTCTTTAGGAGTGAAAGCAAATAAGGCTATTGAATTCCACCTCAGTGTTCAGCTTTTGCATTAAGTGTTTCTCCCAAATGCACTCTCTACTCTCCTTTCCAAGAAAGCAGCATAAAAAAGAAAAGCAAGAATTTGAGCCACCGATTCTTGTAAAGTAAACTGCTAACCAAAAATACAGCAGGGGCACACCTTTGTACCAAAACCACTTGACATCATAAGGAGTAATCCAAGGAAAAACTCACTGAGCCCTGTGACAGGAAGCAAACAATACAAGATAAGGACATGACTGAAGCAGGTCTTGTTTTTATTCAACAGATGCTTTCATGAAACAGCTCTAAAAGAAAAGTTACAATGAATTACAAGAGACAAGACCTTTTCCTATAATGACTGTGGAAGGGTGAGTTGTACTAAACCTTCACAGTATGCTAGTTCAGGCTTGGATCACTCTTCAGGGGTGACATACCTAACCACATTACAATCAAAACCAAGCCAGAATTTATACCAGTGTCTGCGACAGCATTTCAGAACCACATACCAAACTATGTGGATCCTTTTGGATCCTGCGTTTTGTGCTTTCCTTACCTTTTCCCCATTTATAAAACAAGTACAAAAGCACTAGCCCCATTAGGTCTGAAAGAAAAAAACCCCACGAAAGATCAAGAAGTGTTGAATTTCTGTGCTGAAAGGGATAATGTAGGTATTTTAGACTGTCAAGACTTGGAAAGTAGTTAAATTCTTTGCTGTAGGTGTCTACGTTCCTTGAATTTCTTCCAGACCACCAAGCAGTGCTTACCTCTTTCTGATTACACGGGACTTAGCCTCCTACCTGTAGCCTCTCTATTGCACTTAAAGTGGGTAAAGCAACCAAAACCAGATTGTCCCATGCAGAAAAAGGAGTATCAGCTGAGACAAAATAATAAAAACAAATAGAGAAAAATATTTTTAATAAATTTTACAAAAAATCAACTTACTTAGTAAGCCTTGCTATTTGCCATTTCAGTTTCACGTAGGCATCATGAGAAGCAAGCCATGTAACATCTGAAATTCTAGCACTGTCTGTGTCCTGTTTCCAGCAGCATGGCTTCAAGTAGTAGTTTGCTGCTGTTCTCAATGTAAGGCTGGTATAACCATGACGATAAATAGACCATCATCAGATCCTGGTCAGCAGAATGAGCAATTTCTTGTACAATTGTTTGCTTGAGTTGTAGTTCCTTCTTGTACATTTCAGAGAGCTTCAGAGAAACCTCATCTGAAATGGATTGAAAAACCAAGCACATTGACCACAACATTTCAGGAATTCTCTAAAAGTTAAATTATATCTGTAATACGTTGATCATTAAAAAAACCTTCCTTATATAAGCTATTCCCATATTTAGACATCTTGTATTTTACAGCATTAATAATGTTTTTACACTAGAATATAAAACACTAAACAGTTTCCTCAGCTTTTGGATGTATCATATACGCTTGTGATTTTGACATGAATCTCCTTTTAATTCTAGAATAAGCAGTGGTATTGATTCTCAGGACCCAATGTAAAATTAGCAACGATGGCTATTCTTTTGAATAACTGAAATTTGATTTTATAATTTGGTAACGCTATCTTGAAATATAAGCTTCATATTTTAGAGTCACTGTTGATTTCAGCCAATTTAAAGGATGTCCTCACATGCTGTCAGGCACTTCAGCAATGCATGATCACCAATAAGTGATACCAATAGTGAGAAGTAACGGTAAAACTAAACTACAGACCAAAACTGAAGTGTGTAATATAAAAAACCCTAATACTGTTACTAGTTATGTTAGTAATACTTGTAGGGGGGTTAAAATGTATTTATGTAATAATCTTTAATTGTTTGACTTTCTAAGAAATAACCACACAAATAATTTTTAAAGAGAGACTGATCTTGTGTTTCTAGCTTAGCCTGAACTATCGCTACCTTCAGGAGGATTTAGTCTTCCATGGAGTAGAGAGCATCACTAAATGATTCAGTCACAACGAGCATTTTGACAGCAGTTGTCTTTGTCATTCCTACCCTTTTAAGCTAGCAGAAACTAATACATAAAATTCCCACGGACTTGTGATAGTGAAGCAGGAAGCAGGGCTTCACAAAGGTATGACACTCACTTCACGCAGCAGCAGTTGGTTTGCATGCAATCAGGCTTCTTTTGGATTCAAAGAGTTTTAAAACTGCGGTAATACAAGTTGGGAGGCAGTACCTTTTGCCACCAAGTGAATGCTAAAAGGGTTGATATTAACAGCAGACAGCAACCGAACATTTCTTTACTTGTCTTGACTGACATGGAGATCAAAGGAATTTTTCTTTGGCTGCCTGAGAATTAACTGAGGCATAGCTTGTTCTTTGCATTCAAGGATTTCATTTCAGTGTCAAGTAACAAGTCAAGTCAGTTAAGCCTACGGCTTAACACTACCAAGTTACAAATACGTCTCTCTCCACAAAGGAGGTGGCTGTTGCAGCTTGGACACTGTAAGCTGCTGACAAACTTAGTTTTATGCTGGAACTGTTGCGTGTCAGACAATGCTTGGCAACTCATACAAGCCGTCATCAGCAGTAACCCTAAGCCAAGTGGTGCATTCATGTGTTTATTGATTAGTCAATTATAAAGGAGACAGATACACTCTCTCTCTCTAAGGCAAGACATCCAGATAAAAGGGTTTATTTTCCAGTCCTAAATTAGATGACATCAGCGACACAATGCAATTAGCTAAGATAATCAATATTTTACTTACAGAAGTATGGTGTGGGCCATGTATGAAAGAAGGGTGGTGCGCAATTCCCAGCTCCGTGGTGGAATGTTTCCAAGTCACAGATTGCTTTGGTAGTTGAAGTAAGCTTTTCCATTTTCAGTTGTATTTTTGTCTGAAAATGACGAAAATGTAACGTTAACGAACATCTCGGGAACATTAGATTACTATAATCTTAAACACCTTTTTTAAACACACTATTTCTGAAGACTATTTAGTCTTAACATTTCTAACTCACTTTTTTTAACTCCCGACAGGAATCAAAGCTGGAATTTATATACAAATTTAATATGAGATACCCTAAAATTCTGAACGCTGCAGATATGACCTACTGACTCTGATTTTGCATAATTCTTTTGTTTCCCCCATGTAGAAATATATTTTTTTATATATTTTCTCATTTTTTTCACCTCTCTCTAGGTTTTTCCTATAGCAATTTACTAGTGGGGAAAAACATGAGACTGTCTATGAACAAGCGCGGCACAAGTCCTACAAACACGTTTTGTTACATTACTGTGTCAAGATGACTTAAATTTGATTTCAAAAGATCAGCAGCAGGTGAGAAAAGCAGCTCAAGCTACGACTGACAACATATCTAGGCTGATTTAACAGCTTGCTTCAAAAGAAACAGGTCATTCCATCCACTTCCTTCATGTTCACCTGACTTCGTGCATTGCTGATGGGGACTAATATTTACAACAAAATGGAGCTTGCGGGTAGTATCTTTAAGTCAAAAAGCTAAAATACAGATATTTCTATAAACTCGTAAGCTGGTACAAACTCATAAGGAACGAAAAACAAAGTATGTCTGTAGTAGCTGTGTTTAGTATCCAATCTAACACAGGCTGCTTAGACATCTATTACTCAGGAGTAAGAAAAAATTGCATGAACATACTTGGTAGTCTGAATACAAAACTACCTCAAGGAGAAAAAAAGAAAAAAAAAGACAAATTACTATTACTTTTTCCCACGGAGGAAAATTTGAGGACAATGTAGTTGCTTTCCTGCTTATTCTAAATCCTGGACCGGTATCCCTTCTATATAAAAAAAATAGATCTATCATCTTTTTAATGGACCTCCACTATGGCAGAAGGCTGCAAAAGTTATTTTTAACAAGAATTTTAAATTACAGTATCAGGCAAAAAAAAATATCTTTTTGTTTCCTGTCAAACTGACAGGTAACATTCATTTCCAGCAGTGTACCCAGAAAAAAAAGGTGGGTTACATAATAATTACCTTACTCTACTCTCTAGAGAAGGAGTTCTGCACAGAAAATGCAGGTAGGCAGGCGAAAAATATAACTGCATTATGTCTGATCAAAGATAGCTGCAAAGATATGATGGCAGGTAAAGCACTGGTTTATGCTTTGTTTATTTTGTTCTAAACAGAGGGAATATTCAGGATGAGAAAAGAGAAAACAGGGGCAGTTTTAGAATGCATTTTTTGTATGACCCGTTTTCCGATCACTTTATAAAGGGAGGGGTAGAATTATAAGCAGAAGGCAGATGTAAAACCAACTTTCAAATTCAACAATTAAGCAAATAAATGGTGCATACAGGATTTATAATCATTTAGGTTTTAAGCCAAAGAACCACAAATAAAAATCCCAATTTTCTGTTTACAACAAATACTTGAGGACATTTCCTTATGTCATACTTGAAAACATTGGAATTGATTCATAGTAACTAAGACTGAAAAATGAGCATTACCATATGCTTTAAGGTCTCAAGTAATTCTGCACAGCAATTGTCCAGTTCTTCATTGTATTTTGGAGTTGGCTTTTCAGATTCTGTGGCACTGTTATCACACGCTATCTCCAGTTTGTTGTCTTGAAATCTAAAATAGAAACATAAGGCAGAGGAAACAACTGCATATAGGTTTACTTGAGCTGCGCAGATTTAAGATCCATGGAGTCTGATCCTACAAAATGTCTCTCTCACAGGCTATTCATGAGAATTCCTACCTAAAAATAGTAAGAGATGTTGCTAGCCATGTGAGCGATTGGGGCTGGTACCATAATCTTCAGAGGAACAGAATTACTCAAGCATGTGCTTGAAAAAACAGTTGCTGCTGTTAAGATAACACCTCTTCCCATTTTACTTCCCCCCTGTGTTGGAGGTTAGGCATGCCCAGGCTTCAGCTGCTCCAGCTGACAATCTGGTGTCTCACCACAAACTTACCTTCACGCACAATTTAAGCCAAGACAGTTAACTGTGAACCCAGAGCAGCTAATGTGCAGACACCTATCCTCTCTTGCTGACTTTCCCACAGAAGCTGTAAACTTAGACAGGGGAGAGGGAGCTGCTAGAGAGCAAAAGCAACATCTGACAGTATTACAGCAAAATATTCCTGAGCTTGTACCTGTCAGAACCTGTCAGACAAACCCTGTTCAGCTGTCAGAACTCTGGAGAAGTGTCTTCTCAAAACCCTGTTAGTTATAGGTTCTTCTTTATAGCATGAAGATAATAGCTCTACCAAAGTTATCTTTTGTTTTTCTTTAAATCATCACTGTTATAACTTTTTTGTCTATCTAAATCATTGATTATTTCTTAAAATCTGCTGAACTTCTGACTTTAGTGAAATCTGGTAATATTGGCCACAGTGTAAATATGCAAGACAGTAAGGGAACTCACATGCACTGAGATCTATAGGACTAAGATTCTAACTTTCTACATTATGTAAGTATTTTAAATATCCGTTATGCTTGACTATATACAACAAAAATCTTCCATTTCTTGCAAATATCATTACTTTATGAGTTTATTTTAATCTTTATGAGACATTTATTATTTCAATGTAAATAGTTTACATAACCCAAAAAGTGCAACTACTGAGTTTGATCTGACCTAGCTTACCCACTCTGACGTGTTCTTCCCCCATCTCCAAAAATAACTTTCTAGTGAAGAAAACAGATTAATTTCTCAATAAAGGCAATCTTTATGCTGTCTTTACTTGCACGTGTTATTAGCATACTTACTGCTCACTGATCTTCATGTTAACTATTTTGTTTGCCGTAGTAAATCCAGTATCATTCAGTCTCTCCCATTTCATCATTAAATTATGCCAGTCTGCTGCATTATCTTTAATTTTTCTTGCACTGACAGATAAAACAGGTCTTCTTGGAGTACCATCAGCAGGACTTTTTGCTATATGAGAAAATAAAGAAATTCAAGCTATTTAAAGCATACAGAAACAAATCAGTGTGCCACCCGGCAGCTGTTTGTGTGAATGATTTCCTTGCTTTACCGCTGAATATTGATTAAAGTAAAACGGAATTTGCATTAGCTATCTTCAGTCATGAAATCTAATTTTTCCTCTATCAGCCTTGCCACTATTTACAAGAAAATAACGTCATTAAAAAACACAAGCGCGTTCTGAGGTGTGATATTATTAATGTGGGGAGGAGTGGCGTTGCAGTACTGACCCATCTAGCCGTCTTCTGTCACTGTAGGGTACTCGCTAACGCAGCGTGTGATGGTAAGAAATCATGGCAATTACTGTATGCGTGCAGCGCTCATGCCACCAACGCCTCAATTAACTCATACCCACACATGAGCTTGCAGTGTTTGGGAGAAAACTGGGCCCTAACGAGGCCGGCGGGGGCTTTACCACTGGGCTTAAAGCCCGCATTTCGCCATGTGTCTTTAGAGGGACCACACAGCCATGGGCTGTCAGGGCACCACTGACATCCTTACTAATTTACTTAGCAAGGGCCGCGGCCAGGGCCCGGCCTCTGGCTGCTCCCCGGGCCAGGCCCAGGCCCAGGCCTGGCCCC